AGGAGGCGGAGGTTGCGGTGAGCCGAGATCGCGCCATTGCACTCCAGCTTGGGTAACATGAGTGAAACTCCGTCTCAAAAAAAAAAAAAAAAAAAAAAAAAATCAGGAGAACCCTGGGACACCATCACAGCAAGGTGGGAAGCATAGAGGCACAGCAGAAGTTGTCATCACCCTTTGTTGTCTCCTGGCAGGTGTTCCAAAGTGTTAATTTACAGCTTTAATGAGAAATTTTTATTCACTTTCCTAACTATTATATAAACCATCAGAAAATATTAATAATCAAATTTCAGTAGTATATCATACCCATAAGGCCATTCAATAATACTTCGAGAGCCTATAGTACTTTAAAAACAAGAAAAGATTAAGTTACATCTTACTAACAACTCTAAGGGAACACAAGCTATATAGATGAAGAAAAGGCTACCACTCCACCACTGAACTCACAAATTGCTTTTTGTAACTGTAAAATGGATAATACCCACCTCTTCCAGTATCCAACACATGTAAAAACACTCTGCAAACCTAAGAGCACTCTGAAATCCAAATTATGTACTCCAAATCTGTAAAGCGGTGAGCCATACACAGACACTGGCAAGTTTCAGGACGTGCTCAGTGAGCAACCTTCAGAACACATGGCCAGCCAGCCACTAGTTTACTATTCACTTGCTCATTCACTCACCCAGTGAACAAATGGTTATGAGGACTCCTGCCCTCCCGAGATTTACATGATAATCACTCTAATTTCTCTGAGAAGAGGACTGAGTGCAATGTATTTGGGTTTGGAGTCGTGGGGGCCTGGGTCTGAATTCTTGCCCTGTTACATTCACTGAACAGGAAAGGGCATATGTGCCACTTCCTCTCTCCAAACCCAAGAATGCCACCACTTCCTTCCCAAGATTCAGCAAGATAAACTAACATGACACATGTGAGGCACCCAGGGTCCCTGTCACTTTACTCGCTTAAATGTTGGTGTCATTTCTAGATTTTGTACGTCTTTTAATTTTCTACAATCTCGTTTTTTGATTCATCACTTCAAAAATGCCTTTAATTGTTGCTCCGACTTGATTTTGAGGTTGCAGGAGTAAAAAGATAACCTGATGCATACCACCAGAACCCTTCTGGATTCTCCCTGGACTTCACAGCCTGCCCCTCCTCACTCTGATCAACACTAGGTCCTTGCCACTGCTACACTCTCTGCTCCTGGCTGTTGGGCGGGGCTGAAGAGTTACACGGTGACGGAGACTGAGCCCCGGTCAAACAAAGCAACTGGTGTCCCATTACTTCGCTTCACGAGAGTCTTATTTGTTCCCTGACAAATTCCAATCACTTCCCATCCCTATGACATTTCCAGTATTTCTCCATCTTCTCCATACTTCCCATCCTTTTCAACTTGGACCTTCGCTATTAAGTAAACAAGGGCCATCTGACTGATTCTACCTCATCTCCCCTTTCCACACTCAAAGGTTTCTGTGCCATATTAATCATCTTGCAGGCTTATCTTTTATGGAGAGTTCATTTAGACTGGATATTTCCTAAATGCCAAACAGGTACTGCCACAGTGTGATTACTAACCTACAAGATACTCAGTGTGACTTAACTGCCTGTTCTATTTGCACATAGCTCAACGGAGTCAAAAAGGTCTCGTTCTAAATTTCACCCTAGGGTTAACCACATGACCCTACGTAAATCATTTACCTATCAAAGCCTCAGTTTCCACATCCGGAAAAGGGTGCTGGTATTATAGACACACAACCTAATAGCTAGCTACTGAATTTCCTGTACTGGTCCCCTAATTTCTTTTGTCTTCTGTTTATTCATCTTTTGTTCTACTTTCTGGAAGATGTTCGTCTTCCAAACAGTCTACCGAGTTATTTCTATTATCATGGTTATAATTTTTAAGATATCATCTCGTCCCTCAAATCTTTCTTCTTTACAGCAACTTCTTCCTCATCAAGAAATCCTCCACACTTTTTTGAGAGAGTCTAGCTCTGTCACCCAGGCTTGAGTGCAGTGGTGCGATCTCGACTCACTGCAACATCCACCTCCTGGGTTCAGGCGATTCTCCTGCCTCAGCCTCCCGAGTAGCTGGGATTACAGGCACCCACCACCACACCCAGCTAATTTTTGTATTTGTAGAAGAGATTGGGTTTTACTATGTTGACCAGGCTGGTCTTGAACTCCTGACCTCGTAATCCACCTGCTTCAGCCTCCCAAAGTGCTGGATTACAAGTGTGAGCCACTGCACCCGGCCACTCCTCCAACTTTTATCTTTGGAATATAAACCTATTTGTCTGCCAGGCAGCAGAAAGGGAAGGGGGAATCAGTCCCCAGTTTTCATTATGGTGTCTCATGCTTTCCCGCAGGGGTGCCTGGTATCCCAAAGTCCAGAACCTGTATACTTAATCTCTCCAGAAAGTAACTGTCAGAGGAAAGGCTGTTACTCTGGTGCCCCCAATGAATTGTGCATCCCAGCACTTGCTCCTAGCTTTGGCCCCTCCCACAGTGACTGGGTTTCACAATAAGATGTTGCGGAGTGTGACAGATGCCCTTTTGGAATGCTACCTTCTGAGTGTTCTCCATTTGCCATGTGGAGAGAGGTCACAGCTCCCAGCCATGCTTGCTGAAGCACCAGTCACATGAGAAGAGCAATCCTGGATGTTTCCGTTCCACCTGCTATCTGACTGCAGCTGCACAGACTCCAAGCAAGAACAGCAGAAGAACCTCCCAGTGGAGCCCTACCTAACTCACAGAATTGTG